AACCCCCCCCCCCATTTTCCAAGGTTAAAAAGCTATTTAGAAATACACATTTGAAAAGGGGGGGGGGGTGTAAAAATCCAGAATGTAATAATTGAAACATAAAAACTAAGGGACTAACTCTGCGCTACCACCTTATGCTTGCTTATACTTACAAAGTCTTCCCCTTCATTGCTAGCTCTTTCTCATACTTGTAATAATGCTCTTAACGCGATACAAAGAAAAACGAGCAAGCCGGATAACGACATCAGGAGCTTACCACCACCAAACCATAGAGTCCGACTCCTAGTGACCCCTTAGGACAGAGCAAAACTGCCCCACATGGGCCTTCAGGGCTATAAATCGTTACGAAGTAGACTGCTTCATCTTTCTCCCATCGAGCAGCTGGGGTTCTAACTGCCAATCTTTTGGTTGGCGACCGAGTGCTTTAATCATTGCGCCACCATGGCTCCCTGCGAGATTAAAAGATACGCTCCAATCTATATGCTAAGTTTGTCTCTGGTTATCAACTTCAATTCACATTGATCTTTGAAACTACTTTACAAAGGTTCCTTATAATATTTAACTTTAATTTTAAAACAAAACAAAACCCATATTCTGCCAACATACCAACTATTAAAAGGGTTTTTGTTTTCTTTAGGTGGAAGGGGGCCCAAAGAAATTTCACCTGTCATACTATTTATTTCTGTACTATTTGAATTTTTTTTTATTTTTTTATTGTGATTTGGGTGAAAATTTAGAGAGCAAATTCACTTTCCCTACAGCAGTTCACATATACTTTATCTCATGACAGACCACAATTTACCATAATGCAATAGCTCGCCACCCACTTCCTCCCAATAGTTACTTCTTCCCTGTGTCCATCCCTCCATGCACTCCTGCCCCCTGAGCTGTCTCCCTGTGCATAAACAGCCTTTCTTTCTCCCATGATTGTTCTTTCCAAGGAGTATCTACCTCAGGTAAATGTTCAACTCCTATGCCTGTCTTTTATTTGGCTGGAAGCCACAGGTGTGGGTTCAGTTCCAGACCTGAAGGGCAGCTAGGGGCCATAGTCTCAGTGGTTCCACCAGGCTATGTCAGACCAGCAAACCTGGTCCCCCTTCCCCTGCCCTTTTTTAAATGATTTTGAGTTTTGGTCCACATTGTTCTCCCTCTCTATCCAGGATCTCCTACATAGATCCCCCTCCAGGTGGTTGACAGTGGTAGCCAGGCACCACCTAGTTCTTTTGGTCTCATAGTTATATAGGCTGCGGACTGCATGCTGTACCAGTCGCCGGGACTGTTTCCATGAATCTTTGGTTTTCTTCATTCTTCTTTGCTCTGGACGAGGAGAGACCCATCGTTGCATCTACATGGCAGCTTGTAAGCTTTTAAGATCCCAGTCGCTACTCGCCAAAGTAGGAGGTAGAACAATGTTTCGTGTAATATGTTATGCCAGTTGAGCTTGATGTCCCCTGTGACTACAGTCCCGAGCCCACACTGTCTGATTTTTTAAGTAATAAGCATGTATTTAAGAGCTCTGGTAGCATAGTGCCTAAGGCACTTGACTGCTAACCAGAAGGCTAGCGGTTCAAACCCATCAGCCACTCCTTGGAAGGAAGGTTGGGCAATCTACTTCTGTAGTAATACCACCTCAGAAACCCAAGGAGGGGTCGCCATGAGTCAGATCCGACTCGATGGCACATAACAACAACGAGCATGTATTTACTTTTGACATATAAAATCCACATCATGCGAGATTTGTGTGTATTTACTGAGGAACACAGTGCTTTTCTAGGCAGATTTCTTTCTTTTCTGAGACATGGTGCTGCCCTCTTCTGACAACCAACAGAAACAGCAGACGCCCAGAGTCCACTGTTTAAATTTACCCCCCATTTGCTTTCAAAAGTGAAACAGGAAAATTTGTGGCAGACAACTAAGTTAATATCGGTACAAAAGTCCATAAAATCTAAGTTGATTAGGAAATTTAATGATTTCTTATAGCAGTTGCTGACTGCTAACCAGAAGGCTGATGGTTCAAACCCACCAGACACTCCTCAGAAGGCAAACTGGGCAATCTACTTCCATAATGATACTGTCTTGAAACCCAAGGAGGGGTCGCTATGAGTCAGATCCGACTCAACAGCAGTGAGTTTTTTTTTGTTGTTGTTGTTATAGCAACAGTTATTCAGCAGGTTTTATTATGTAGGGCCACTGTTTCTGAAGTTATAAATAAATCTTGCTTAGGAGTCTATCCTACATGACATATGGGAAATAATTCAAGCCAAGAAAGACTTCTAACCACTCTACAACCTATCCTCCTAACAGACTTCCGGCCACTGAAGGTTCACCATAAGGGTTCACCATAAGGGAAGCTAGCCATGAGGAAACAATCCAACAATCCAAATTCAAGAGTTTCCAGGTACGAATTCTGGCAGCAAAATAAACTAATTCACATCCTCAAAAAGCACTGAATAGATCCCACAAATTATTAATTACCTAGAAAAAAAGGTGCCTTGAAATGGAGAATTCTGACAGATACTGCCTTGTTATCAAACTAATTACCATCGACTTTGGGTTCTGTGAGGTGAAATGCTGAGAAGGACAAGACATCACCTAAGCATAACCTTTGTCTGAAGTGAATAATCTGAAGCCAGCCATGAGGAAACAGTCCAACAATCCAAACTGAAGGACATTCTGCAATACAACTGGCTTGAACTCAAAAAAACACAAATGTAAAACACAAAAATGTCTCATGTGCTTTGGACATGCTATCAGGAGGGAGCAGTTCCTGGAAGGACATTGTGCTTGAAAAAGTAGGTCAATGAAAAAGAAGAAAGTCCTCAATGAGATGGACCAATATAGTGTCTGTCACAACGGGCTCAAAATTAGAGATCCTGGATAGAGTGGAAGAAAAAATATGGAATAAAATTCAAGTATATAAAAAACACCAGGATTACTGTTTGGAAAGAGACCAGTGAAACCCCTGAGACTATGGCCCCAAGTCACCCTTCAGGCCTGGAACTGGACTCACTCCTGTGGCTTAACTCTCAGTCAAATAAAAGACAGACCTACGAGCTGAACAACTACACCAGGGAGATGTCCTCCTCAGAAGAGTCAAACGTGGTAGATTAGAAGAGTAGCATTTGCACAGGAGAAAGCTAGGGAGGCAGGAAACCATAGGTAAGATTGACACAGGGAACAGGTAACCATAGGGAGGAGGTGAGGGGAGAGGTGTTACATTGTGGGGATTGTAATCAATGTCGGGAAACAAAATGCCTATGAACTGTTGACTACAAAACAAATCTACTTTGTAGAACTACACAGAAATCACAATAAAAAGTTTAAAAAAAAAAACCAGACTAAGCACAGTGTATAATCCTGGATGGGATCTTGGACTGAATAGAAACACAGGTATAAACATTATTGGGATAACTAGTGAAAATCTGAATAGAATTATACATAGTGCTACTCAAAGTAGAGGCTGCAAAACTAGCTGTTACTGGTGTAAGACAACATGCGTAGAGAAAATAAAAGTACTGAGCAATTTGAAAATGGCATAATATTCAAGACACAATCAGTGATTCACTGCAATAATCAGAGTATAGACCAGTTCAGGAACTGCCAAACTCACATAATGTGATGCAAAATTTTCCTAGTAATTCCCTCCTATACTATTTAACAAAAGTAATAGTCTGTAATAGATTGAAAATTTAGAAAGAGATAGTTTAAATAATCTATATTAACATTAACTATATTGGATATGAGAGTTATACTGAGTTATGAAGGTGAATACCCTTGCACTTAGGAGACACGTGCTAAACTATTTAGTGTCACAATGTCTACAAGTAATTCTCAAATGGTTCAGGCAAAGCAAAAAGAGAAACACAGATACAGATAGTGAAAGGGGGGCAAGATGTTGGCATGAGGTGAATCTGGATGATAAGGGTATGGGTGTTGGTAGTTACATTATTCTTGTGAGGTTTCTATACGTCAATTTTTTTTTCCAGAAGAAAAACTTGAGGAGAAATTTTAAAAATAGTAACAACATGTTATGCTGCAAATCATTCATAAAAGTGGTAATGTCAAAATCTTTTTCCCAAAATATATTTTCACTGAATGAAGTAATTGTTGGAAACTAGTTATTAGAATAAAAATTTTAAGGGAAATTTTATTTTCAGAGAACCTACAGATCTAATTATCGAGCAAAATAACTATGAACACCTATAAAAATCAGTGATTAGCAATACATATATTCTCAATCAATCCCAAATTACAGATCTATTGTTTCCAATTATAAAATTTACATCAGTGGGAAAGGAAATGCTAAGTACACAGCTCTTACTCAGAACAGCCCAAAAGCTGACCTGGTCAAGGCATTATGGAGTTCCTACTACTTTTCTAGGAGCTCTGGTGACGTATTGCCTAAGGCACTTGACTGCTACCCAGACGGCTGGCAATTCAAACCCACCATCACTCCTCAGAAGGAAGGTTGGGCAATCTACCTCTGTAGTGTTATCTATCACCTTGGAAATTCGACGGCACATGACAATTAGAACTACTACTACTACTACTACTTTTCTGAACTATAGTCAACAAACCTCATGAATCAATTTAAAAAACATTAAGGTGAGGAAATAATACTGGAATTAAGTTTCTCTCTTACTACTTCCAAGTCTTAACTCATTTCAAAGGCTTTCCTGGGGCTCATAATTCACATCAAGGAAAAGTAATTAAGGGAGAAAGGATTTACCTAAAGTCACATTCATGGCAATGACTAAGTAGAACCAAACACTTAACTCCTTGTTTTTTTGCTTCTGTTCAGCAGACCACTTCCTAATACCAGGAACTACATTACCACACATGAAAGGAGCTTTCTCATGCTCTGTGAGAATTCCCTCAGCTCAGATACAATGCTTCCAAAATATGATGATGAGTTGGAATGAAGCTACATGTCTCATATCATATAGAAAGATGTTGATTTTTAAAAGAGCTAGTTTCAAGGGGTCTGAAGATCATCTTACCTGACTTCTTCACCAGCAAAATCAAACAGCTTGGTGATTTTGACCTTTTCTGTCTCTTTAGGCTTCTCAAACTCTTCTGCTTTGACCAGCAATTTACTTGAACTTGTCTCTTCAGTCTCCTCTCCTCTCTATAAAAAAAGGAAGAAATGCAATCAGCTTCACCAAAACATAAAACCCAAAAGAACCACCCAAACACACTGTTCATAGCTGTTCTTAAATGTTTCATCCATGAGCAGTTAAAGCCACACTAAAAATTTACTGGATTACACAGGCTTGTTTCATCTACCATATGGGACACATTATGTGTCAACTTGGCTAGGCCATGATTCTTGGTACTGTGAGACGACCCTACATTTCATGAGCTGATGTCATTACTTTATATATTGTAAATCCTCGTCTCTATGATGTCAATCACGACTTGTCTGTCAGTACATTGTACTGGGGTGGCTTGTGTGTTGTTGTGATGCTGGAAGCTAAGCTACCGGTATTTTAAACACCAGTAGGGTCATCCATGCAAAGAACGGGAATTCCAGGGCTCTTATCTGTGCTCAGCAGGAATCTTTATACAGATCAAGAGGCAGCTGTTTGAACAGAACAAGGGGATACTGTATAGTTTAAAATCAGGAAAGGTGTGCATCAAGACTGTATCCTTTCACCACACTTATTCAATCTGTATGCTGAGCAAATAACCTGAGAAACTGGACTATGTGAAGAACACATCAGGACTAGAGGAAGACTCATTACCAGCCTGCGATAGGCAGATGACACAACCTTGCTTGCTGAAGGTGGAGAAGGCTTAAGTACTTAGTAATGAAGGTCAAAGGCTACAGCCTTCAGTATGGATTCTACCACAACATGAAGAAAATGAAAACCCTCACAACCGTACCAATAAGCAACATCACAATAAATACAGAAAAGGCTGAAGTTCTCAAGGGTTTCATTTTACTTATATACATAATCACTCAGAAGAAAGGTTGGACAATCTACTTCCATAGTGATACTGCCTCGGAAACCCAAGGAGGGCTCGCTGTGAGTCGGGTCCTACTCAATGGCACATAACAACAACAACAACATATACACCATCAACGCACATAGAAGCAGCAGTCAAAAAATGAAGTGATGCTATTATTATACACATTAGGTAAATCTGCTGCAAAAGATCTCTATTCTTTAAGCATTTTGGATACATGTCCTTTATCAGAAATGTATCTGGCAAATATTTTCTCCCAGTTTGTGGCCTGTCTTTTCATCCACTTAAAAGTATCTTTTGCAGAGTAAAAGTTTTTCATTTTAATAAAGTCCAGCTTATCTTAAAAAAATGAAACAAAACATAAAAAAAAAAAAAAAACACTTTAAAGTGTTGAAGTATGAAGATGTCACTTTGAAGACTAAGATGTACCTGACCCAAACCACGATCTTTTCAATAGCCTCATATGAATGTGAGAGTTGGACAACAAATAAGGAAGACTGCAGAAGAACTGACTGATCTGAATTGCACTGCGGATTGACAGAAGAATGCACGAATCCGTCTTGGAGGAAGTCTGGCCTAACATGCCCTAGAAGCAAGAATGGCCAGACTCTGTTTCTTATACTCTGGTCATGCTGTCAGAAAGGACCAGTCCCTGGGGAAGGAGATCATGTCACGCAAAGTAGAGGGTCACCAAAAAAGGGGAAACTCTCAACGAGACAGACCGGTCTAGTGGGCTGCGATGGCAGGCTCAAACACAGCATCGACTCTGAGGGTGGTGCAGGACTGGGCAGTGCCTTGTTCTGTTGTACACAGGGTCACTGGGAGTCACACTGACTTGACAGCCCCTAACATGGTACTGAGGAGGCACGCTTAGTGTCAGGCATGGAAATGAGCCAGGATACGATCTTCAGGATTAGGCTGCATCTTCAGTCAATCTCTTGAGACATAAAAGATTGAACAAGCAAACGGAGAGAGGGACCTCCTGTCACCAAGAAAGAAGAGCCAGGAGTGGAGCGTGTCCTTTGGACCCAGGCTCCCAAGCTGAGAAACTCCCAGACCCAGGAGGACTTTCCTCTAGAGCCAAGAGAGAAAAAGCCTTCCCCTAGAGGTGGCACCTTGAATTTGAACTTCTAGCCTCCTAAATCGGGAGAGAATTGTTTGTTAAAGCCATCCACTACTGGTTAACTAAAACAACACTTTCCTTTTTATTTAGTAGAGTTACTATCAAAATGCATCAAGTCTGACTTCTGCTGTAAGCTTCAAATCTCAGTTTGCAAATAAAGTTTATCTGGGGGAACTCAGGGTATTTCTGGGGAAGTACACATCTCATTACCATTATTTTTATGCTAATAAAGTAAGCATTATACATCTTTTCATACTGCACAATCCCAACACATTAGTTTCATGAATGTACCATACCCATGATCCGCCTCCCCAAATATGTTACTGATTTCCACTTAAATTTTTTCACTCCAACAGATTTAAGGGTAAGTGTTCATCATGGTGTTTGTTGATGGGGAGGTTTGGTTTCCAGCAGCAGATGCCTGCCAGCGAACCCCTCAGTTTCTAAAGCAGCCTCTATCCTGGCAGGATTCCTTCCCTGCTCTGCAAACTGCTTTCTCCAATGCAAGAAGAAACCACTATTTCTGGCCCAGAAACAGCCGCTGCCAGGGCAGCTGGCCCCATTCTAGGAGGTGCACAGGTCTATGCACCCTGGGCAGGAGAAGACACTCAGGTGGGCAAGGCTGGCACACTGTAGCTACACACATTCCATCCTGGTGTCTGGCTGGCCAGCACAACACGTCTGGGCCATCTGATCTCCTGCCTGTGCAGATGCCACAGGGTGGGCATGAGAGCCACAAGGGCAAAGGGATCTCTCGCCTGGATGAGACAGGTCTGACCGGCCAACAGAGGCCCCACGGGGCTGGGGCAGTGTTCACCTGAACACTGCTGCCCAACTTCACCTGGGGACAGCACCATGGGACCCAGGTGTACATGAACAGGGGCCCCTGCTCAGTGAGGAACCAGCCCATGTTCAGGCTGTGGCAGCCCCACAGACAATTTACTGCCCGACTCTGCTCATCTCTGGCACTATGTACGTGGGCACATATCTGTTACAACGAACTCCAGTGCTCTCTGCCAGGCCACAAACAGCCTCAGAGCAAACACAATTTTACTTATTTTCCAATTATCAGAGCACTACCAAACTCAATACATTATTTCTTGACCATGGCTTATGCCTTAATTATACAAATGTTATCAAACGTAACATTTTTAGACTGTGAATGAGGGTGAATGAGGCTGAAATTCATTTCTGGAAATGTGGTAAGACATGAGTAGTGTATGCATGCCAGAACTTTTTATTTATTTATATTGTGATTTGGGTGAAAGTTTACAGAGCAAGTTCATTTTCCATACAGTGGCTCATACACTTTGTCTCGTGACATTGACTGTAATATTCCACAATGCAACAGCTCCCCTCCCACTTCCTCCCGATAGTTACCTCTTCCCTGTGTCCTTCCCTCCATGCATTCCTGCCCCCCCCCCAGCTGTCTCCCTGTGCATACAAGCCCTTCTATTCTCCCATGATTGTTCTCTCCAAGGAGTGTATCTACCTAATGTGGCTGGAAGCCACAAGTGTGGGTTCAATTCCAGACCTAAAGGGCAGCTAGGGGCCATAGTCTCAGAAGTTTCACCAAACTGGTCCCTTTTAAAAAAAAAAAAAAAGATTCTGAGTTTTGTTCCACATTGCAGAACTTTTTTTTTTTTTAATACAATTTCATCATTCCTGCCCATCATGTGTGTATGTGCATTACTTACATGAGTATTGCAAAAAAGTACAGTAATCATGCAACTTACCTTAACTTGTGCACTTGGGGGCACTTTGGATTTTGGTCGCACGTCATTGAGGAAGCTGGCCCAGAGTTCATCCTCCTTTTTCTTTCTCGCATCCTCTGACCCGCCACCCTCTTCCTGCTCCGCAGCTGCCTCTTCCTCCTCGCTGCTGCTTCCTCCAGTTTCCGCTCTGGCATCCGCCTCCTCCTCTCCTTCTAATGAGAGGCCACCTTGTTTTCTCTTCCTGGTCACCAACAGTCATAGCAAAAAGGAAAGATAAGACAGAGAATGTAAAATGATTTCTGTTATTCCTTCCTCAATTCAAGCATAATCTTTTAAATCTGGGTGTAACTAACTAACACAGTTGGGGGGAGAGGGCAAGCTGAGATTTTCTGGAAGAAAAAAAAAAAGAAGTGAGCCCTTACAGTTAGCATTTTCTCCACACATTTAGAACCAAAATATAGTGTTCTACTTAGAAATCAGGACCAGCTATTTTCACCAAGAAAACACCAAAATCATGTCACAGAATCCATCTACCCATAAAGTGTTTGAAGAACATACATCTACAAGGTATTTTTTGACTTTTTAAAGCCATTTCTTTTGGAGAACATGTTCTATTGGAAGAACTCCAAATTCATTCATACTGTTTATTCCTAGAGTTCTCAGAAATAAAATGGGAAAAAATCAATGTTTCTTCCACTTTCTGAAGATACAAATGCTGGAATACAGAAGGCAAGGACAAAAGAATCAGACTCAAGACTTCCAAGAATAAACTGTTTCTTAAAACTATTTTCACTTCAGGTAAATTACCTTATACCTAAAATTCTTTTTTTCCTTTTTAAAAACTATAATCTTCTTTTTGCTTCAGTGCCCAGGAAGACAGGAAATATCAAGCAAAGAAAGGTGAAAGAATTCTACAGAAGACACCCTTATCTGAACTAGGGAACCTGTCAGAACTTCCCACAGTTTTGGTGGGAGTACAAATAAAGACCAAATCCATGGAAGGCAATTTGCTATTATCTATAAAATTTTTTTAACTGCCTATAATCTTGAATCAAATACCTCTACTGTAAATCTGACTTACAGGTATACTTGTACATGCACACAAAGACACATATGAAGAACATTCATTGCAGTCTTGTTTACTGTATGAAGACTAGGTACAATCTGAATGCCTCCAAAAAGGAAGTGCTTAGAGGATGGTCCATCCATATAATATACTGCCACCATGCAGTTACTGAGACGAACGACATGTATCTAAACGGACTGCCGTGCTACATCTCCAAGATGTGACAAAAGCAAAGTGAAAAAGGGTATGCAAAGTCTGCTACTATTTGTATTTAAAAATGAGTAGCCACAGAACTGTATGAAACAAACAACGAATGCTAATGTAAACTATAGACATTAATTAAGAATAAAATATCACTACTGGTTCATCAATTATAATGTTCCCCAGGAAGGCAAGAAGTCAACAGTTCTGAATGTTGTTTAGGAAACAGTGAGCTTCCGTTTGTGTGGTGACAGAAAATTTGATGATGATTATTGGTGATAGTTGCACAACATGTTAACGTAACTGGTATCACTGAATTATACATGTGAAAAACACTGAACTGGCAAATGTTGTTATATGTTTTTACAACAAAACAAAAAGGAGACAATGATGGGCAGGAGAAAAGGGTGTATGGGAAGTGTCTGTTCAAAAATTTCTGCACAATATTGTGACCCTAAAACTGCTCCAAAAAATAAAGTCTATTATTAAAAAAAAGGTACGAAGTACACACATACATGTGTAGAACATCTCTGGTAAGAGCTCTTTTGAGGAAAAGCAACAAGGGCTAGAGGTAGGGTATATACTTTCGTACTAATCAAGCTTTTTGTTTATTATGCCCACATATTATCTGTTAAAAATTTTGTTTTTAAAGGTCAACAATGTTTAAAGGTTGCCAGAGCCCAAGAATTTAACCCTAAAATACCAGTAAATGTTTCCCTCAAGTAGAAAAAAGCAAGGAATGCTGTCAGCAGGAACTCCACTACCACATCAGTCCCAGCACCAGGAGGGCCCCTGGCTTCTAAGGACCTTGAGGATGCATCACCTGGCCGGAATGCTCTGAGCCTTTCTCTTTTTCCCTTTGGTTTTGTGTGTCTGCTCTTCACCATCCACTTCATCTTCCTTCACTAATTCATTTACATCATCTTCACTATACTCTCCACCTGAAATCACATAATAGGGTGGTCAGACAGACAGGAATGAAGCTTTTCACATCAAGTTGTGGTATTTCCACTGTATAGTACTTTCACCTATTCTTCATCTAAAACCCATTTCCTTAGAGAGCTCATCTCTGACCCTGAAGACTAGTCTAAGTTCCCTTATCCTGGACTTCCAGGGCAGTCCATATATCCCCCTCCATAACTTCCATCCCACTGCTCAGTATTGAATGTTTGCAATTCCCGTTAGGCTCTACAATCCACGAGGACATGGACCCTCTCTGTCTTGAGTTATAAGTATCTGCTGAACTATTTGATATTCCAATTGTATTAATGTATTTTTCAAAAAATAAACTAATATATGTCTTAGGTATCTTAGTATCACCTTAGGTATCTTTCAAAAGCATGTTGAATCTTGTCCATAAAAGAGATTTGGAAAGTGGCCTAAAGACTTCCAGTTAAACACAGAAGGAACAAACAAATCTCCTATCGTTAGACAGTGACAACAAGAGTTGCCTGGGTGCCCTGTCTGAATGCACACATCAGGCACCAATCGATTACTCCTCCCCATAGAGATTCAAGTAGCTTTCTGAAATTCCAGACTTTTATTTGAAACACAACAGCTGTTGTTAGGTACTGTCAAAGTCGATTCCAATGTGACAGAGGAGAACCACTCCACAGGGTTTTCTTGGCTGTGATCCTTATGGGAGCACATGACCATGTCTTTCTCCTGCAGAGCCACGGATTGGATATGAACCACCACCCTTTCAATTAGCAGTTGAGCAACATACCGAAAGAAAAAAAAATCAATCAATCACATCATGACCAGAAAAATTTTCACTTACCATAAAACTTTATCCTGGAAAAGTCTGGTTCAAAATTTTTAAGAAAGTATTCACTGTATATCACCATACTGACAGACTAAAGAAGACTACACAAGAACATATCAACGGATGGAGAAAAAGCATTTGACAAAATTCACTCCAGTAAATCAGGAACACAAGGGAACTTCTTTACCCTGATAAATGACATCTGTGAAAAATGCATAGTAAACGTCATCCTAAATGGTAAAATATTGATGCTTTCCCCCTAATACTAGCAACAAGGCAAGGATGTCCACCCTCACCATTCCTATTCAACATCACACTGAAAGCTGTACCAAATTTAATAACCACAAAAGACATAAAAGGCATACATATGGGAAAGGAAGAAATAAAACTTTTTATTCAGTTGACATGACCGTCCATGTGGAAAATCCCATAGGATCTACAAAATAAAGCCTCTAGAAGTGATAAATGAGTCTAGCAAGCCTCTAGAAGTGATAAATGAGTGTAAAATACACAGTTAGTGTGCAAAGATTGCCTGTATTCCACATACCAGCAATGAAATTTGAAATTAAAAAGGCGTAGAGATGTATACTGCATACACGGTTTGGGAAACAAAATATTATCAAACTTTTATTTCTTCCAAGATTGATTTACAGATTCAATGTAATTCCAAGCAAAATCCAAAGAGTTTTCTGTAGAGACTGACAAATCAAACTCACTGCCATCGAGTTGACTCTGACTCATAGTGACCCCAACTAGGTTTCCAAGGCGGTAAATCTTTACGGAAGAAGACTGCCCATCTTCCTTCCATAAAGCAGCTGGTGGGTTTGAAGTGCCAATCTTTTGGTTAGCAGTCAAATGCCTTACACACTACGCCACCAGACCTCCTCAGAGATTTAACAAACTGTTTCTAAAATTTATATGGAAAGGTAAAGGAAAATTTTTTCCCAAAACAATTTTGAAAAAGATTTTTTAAATCAGAGCTACAGTAATTCAAAACAGCATGGAACAGAAAGGAAGGTATAGAACTAAACTTTCACAAACAAGGCCAACTAATTTTTATCAAAGGCGCAAAGGCAATTCAATGGAAAAAAGACAGTGTATTCAGCAAATGGTGCTGGAACAAGTGGACATCCACATGTTTAAAAAAGAACCTCTACCTGTAACTTCATCCATTTCAGGATGTGGCATATGATCTAGAACCAATGGTACTGAAGGAGGAAGTCAAAGCTGCAATGAAAGAATTGGTGAAGAACAAGCCTCCGGGAATTGAAGGAATACCAATTGAGATATTTCAACAAACGGATGCCCCATTGGAGGCACTCACTCAGTTATGCCAAGAGATTTGGAAAACAGCCAACTGATTGTTGATCTGGCCAACTGACTAGAAGAGATCCATATTTGTAGCCATTCCAAAGAAAGGTGATCTCACAGAATGTGGAAATTATAGAACAGTATCATTAATATCGCACACAAGTAAGATCTTACTGAAGAGGAATTCAAAGAGTTGCCAGCAGTATATTGACAGAGAACTTCCAGAGATGTAAGCTGGATTCAAAAGAGGACGTGGAACAAGGGCTATCATAGCTGTTGTCAGATGGATCTTGGCTGAAGGCAAAGAATACCAGAAAGATGTTTACTTGTGTTTTATTGACTATGCAATAAAGTCAGTAAAATTTTGATTTTTTGATTGTGTGGATCATGACAAATTATGGATAACATTGAGAAGAATGGGAATTCCCGAACACTTGATTGTACTCATGAGGAACCTGCACCTTGACCAGGAGGCTGTCGTTTGAACGGAACAAGGGGACATTACATGGTTTAAAATCAGGAAGGGAGTAAGTACGTCAGGGTTGTATCCTTTCCCCACACTTATTTAATCTATATGCTGAGCAAATAATCTGAGAAGCTGGACTATATGAAGAAAAACGTGGCATCAGGATTGGAGGAAGAATCATTAACAGCCTGAGATACGCAGACGATAAAACTTTGCTTGCTGAAAGTGCGGATGACCTGAGGCACTTACTGATGAAGGTTGAAGAATACAGTCTGCAGTATGAATTACGTCTCAATATAAAGAAAACAAAAATCCTCACAACTGGACCAATGAGCAGCATCACAATAAATGAAGAGACGACTGAGGTTGTCAAAGAATTCACATTGCTTGGTTCTACACTCGATGCCAAAGGAAGCAGCAGTCAGGACATTAGACGACATGGAGCATTGGGAAGGTCAACCGTGAAGGAACTGTTTCAAGTGCTGAGGAGCAAGGATGTCTCCTTGAGGACAAAGGTGCACCTGACACAAGCCATGATATTTCCAGTCGCCTCATATGCATGTGAGAGCTGGACAATGAATAAGGAAGACCGAAGAAGAGTTGATGCTTTTGAGTTGTGGTGCTGGCGAAGAATGCTGAAAAGTACCATGGACTGCTAAAAGAACTAACAGATCTGTCCTGGAGGAAGTGCACCCGAAATGCTCCTTGGAAGTGAGAATGGCCAGCTTCGTCTCATCTATTTTGGTCATGTTCTCAGAAGGGACCACTGCTGGAGAAGCATGTCATGCTTGGTGGGTGGATGGTCGACAAAAGAGGAGAAGGCCTTCAACGAGATGGATTGACACGGTGGCTGCAATGATGGGCTCAAGTATAGCAGGGATCATGGAGCTGGCGTGGGATTGGGCAGTGTTTCATTCTGCTGTGCATGGGGTCGCTATAAGTCAGAAATGACTCGACGGCACCTAACAACAACAACACCTGTAACTCATACCTTATGCAAAATTTAAATGAAAATGAATCATAAACCTCAATGTGAAATATAAAACTTAACACTTTTAGGAAGTGTAGGCACGTATCTTTGTGATGCTGGGTTAGGTAGAGTTCTTACATGCTACTAAAAGCACAACCATTATGGGGGAAGGGAGTTGAGTTAGACTTCATCAAAGTTTGTCTTGCTTTGCAAAATTACACTATTAAGAGAATGAAAATCCAAGCTACAAAATGAGGCAAAATTTTTACAAACACATGTGACAAGGGAGTTGTATACACAATGTTGTTGCTGTTGTTGTTTGTCGTTATGTGCCATCAAATTGTACCCGACTCATAGCAACCCCTCCTTGGGTTTCCAAGATGGTATCGCTACGGGAGTAGATTGCCCAACTTTCCTCCAAGGAGTGGCTGGTGGGTTTGAACCGCCAGCCTTCTGGTTAGCAGTCAAGTGCCTTAGGCACTACACTACCAGAACTCCCATATGCACAACAGACAACGCTAAAATTAAACAATAAGAACACAAACAACCTAGTTGCTAAAAATGAGCAAATGATCTGAACAGACACATCACCAAAGAAGATACAAGGATGGTAAATAGACACATGAAAGACAGTCAACCCTTTGCCACTGAGTTGATTCCAAGTCATGGCAACCACATGTGTTACAAAGTAGAACTGATCCATCAGGTTTTCTTGGGTGGTTCAATCTCACCCAGAGGCACCTTGAAAACAGGCCAGTGATCTGCTTCTGACTGATCATACCTGTTTCAATCATTTCGTTTAGAAAGATCAGCACAAGGCAGTCCCAATGAGGCAGAGGTTAAAGACGTCCCAAATGTCCAACTTTTCCAAACTGCCAGGCCACTCCATCAACTCTGACATCAATTTGTCCTCCTGCCCTCAAAAATCTCCCTCCTAACTTTGAGTTCTGTACTTCACTGTGATGTTTCACAGAATTCCCAAACTCCCAAGGAAATGGCTCACGTGATGGTGGTGGATGCTGGGAGGCTGGCAAGTCCCAGGTCCGTGGGTAAGTCTGGAAGATTCTTCCAACTCATGGTGTCACAGAGGTTGGCAAACCCAAACTGATGAGCCAGATGATGGATGCTGTCTCAAGTCCAGGGGTGAGATGATGATGAATAAATGTAGAACCAGAACTAGAGCATGAACTTTCCCAGACCATTCATACGTATACTCTCAAGGAAACTAAGGGTGGTAACTTGAGTCACACCCTCCAGCAAGGTGGGACTCAAGATACATCCCACGCTAAAGAAGCATAGAGAATAGGATTTACAGTACATCACAAAATGGGTGGTGAGGCAAGGTGGGGCTCAAGAAGCTTTCCACCATAAACAGGCATGCTGTTGTTGTTAGGTACCACTGAGTCGTCTCCCAACTCATAGAGACCCT